TTTTTTTATTTTAGTTTTATTTTACGTAGATTAAAGAGTTACATTTTTTTCAAAAATGCTTGAGAGTTGGGTTGTGTTTTTTTTTACTATGAATTAGTGTGAACATATACAACATATTTTAGATTCGGCCAAATCGGAGGGAACGATGTCTGGTGTTGCCCTTGTAAGTGATAATTACGTAGAAAAACTAAAAGTAGAGATTAAGAACATTTCTGGTAGTGTTCCTGTAATGCTTGAAATTTAATAACAATTATGAATTATATTCGGCTCTAATATAAAACAAATATAAATATGTAGGCTGACAAAGCCGAACGCGATGTGGATTATTGCGAAAATGAATTTAGCGCTACAATTAAATAATTATGCGTGAGCCATCAATTGAGATACAATTCCTAAGAAGTCTTGACAGTGTCTCAGCAAATGCGTGCCTCGATCACAATTATTCAATTACAGCGAAAAAATACTTATTGCAATAATTGAGGTAACGACATCGCTCTTTTGACTTGTTTAGCGAACATATATTTATATTTGCTTGAAATTTAATTTATTGAAATTTAAATATGTTCTTCCTTCATTGCATATGATCGGCAATAATAGTCGTACATGTTAAATGAAATTTGTTGTAAAAATACAAAGCGACACTTTTCTTCTTAATTTAGTATTTTATGTGCAAGTTATGTTACATTTTTAAACTTATAACATAAATTTATAATTGTTTCTTACATATCAAATATTTTATATACATAATTACTATTAAATATTTTGCATTTTATAATGCAGAAATTTTATATTCAAATTCGAGAATTTATTCTTAAATGCATAATATATTATTATAAAATGTTCTTAGCATCAAATGTGTGTGTATATGTATATATGAAAAACGCGTTTTTGACATAGCTTATTTACACTAAATACCTATATACAAAAATTCAATTTTACCAAACAATAAAACCACCAATAATAATTAGACATAACAGTCGCAATTGAAAATTTTCGTAATTTATTTGTTTGGACCATGTCAGCAGTTTAAAACAAATTTTAATTTCTTTTTATATACTTCCCAGTCAGAAATGTATAGTTGACTCGACGTCGAATCAACGTTGAAATCTGATGTCGAAGTATAGTCAAAATTTTGATCGATTCGACGTCGATCTCGTACCAAATATCAACCAATTTTCAATTATTATTTCAACGTCGTTTCAACGTCGAAATTTGATGGTATATATATATATATATAATAGTATACTTTATTATTTATTATTTTTAAGGTAAAAATACTAAAAAACAAAAAGTGCAAATCTTATTTTTCTTTTATTTATTATTATACAAAGTTGAATATAATTAAACTACATTGCATTATAAAATATATATTTATTAACAATGCGTTATATCTGTAAACTATTTCAAATTTTAACATATTATAAGAATAAAGCGTTTAGTATACCGTTTAACAAAAATCACAAATAATTGCAGAACAGCTACGTGTTTTACTAACTTTTACACATATAATAAGTACTGAAAACTTATAAATTTGATAACGAAAGTAATATTGCACACACAAGTCCTGATGCTTGTAAACAAAAAAAAAGAAAAAGTCTCTTATATTATATTAATATAGCGACAAAATAAAATTCCATTTTTTTTTCAAAACAATCGAAAGTATAAATCATTTTTCGCAATCGCATAAAATTAGAAAAAAAATAAAACTGAAATTGATTTCACGTTACGCATAAAAAAATAGATATTTTTGCGCAGACATTTTGTTGTTTTAAATATAGAGCAGAGCATAGTTCAGCCATAAATATGCTATAAAAATCGTCAAATGACAATAAAAAAATCGTCAAATTTTAAAACAAAAGAAACACAAAAATAATCTAAAAATAATCTTATTTTTTTATTCTTTTCCCCATACTGCCGTCATCTTGGCGACGCCAAGGTGCTTGCTTTAGCCACAGTGAAGTAGCTGCATCAATCTCTGGGATTTCTGTTTCTGGCCTTTTGTCTAAAATGGCACCTAAAAATGCAATAATTTTTATATTTTATTAATTTTATTAAATTTTTTAAATTATTTTATTATATTAAATTTTTATTTTATTTTTATTAATTAATTTATATTTATATTATTCTCTTATTTGAAACGATTCTTAGTTGGAAATAAATATAAGTTTACTTACCTTGAACAACTTCATACAGCATCAGCTTTTCGAAACATTTTTTGGATAAATGTTTACCACTTTTTAAAGTAAAGTCTGCTGCCAATGTGTTTGAAATAAGTTTCCTTAGTACTTTATATGTAGCTTCCTTAATATTGTCTTTAGGACCAATAATTTGACTCATGTAACAAATCTGGAAAAAATCAAAATTTAAGCAAAGAAAATTAAATATTAATAAATATTAAAAACAAATATACATATATATATATATAATAAAAGCGATAAATATTTATTTACAGTTGCACCAGCATTATCATCTTTCGTTAAATATTTTTCAAATTTTTCTAATTCTTCCTCTGTTGTCAATGGAAGTGCTGGAAGATCTGCTGGTCTTATTATTCTTTTCTCATGTGGTAGAAGAAAGCGATTTAATCTGCATAAATTCATAGTAATCATATCTAATTTGCTACTAATTTCTTAATTTAACGAATACATCTTTTTTCAAAAGCTTTCATATCAAAGGTCGCTTTAGACACATCTAATACACTACCTGTAAGAAAATCAAAACGTAATATTTGATGCTTTAGAAAAAATTAAAAGGTACAAAGTCATCAAGAGACACGGTAGTGTCTCGCGACCAGTTAAGGGCGTAGCGGAGACACCGTGTATCTTAACGCGAGTCGGACATTTGAGTCTTTATAATATTTCGAATCCTCAATAATGGCTGAAGCAATCGAGTTTATACTAGACTTAATCGATAGATTGAGTTCGAATTATATAATAAAAGTGTCTTTATTTCTGCTCTACGTGATTTGTAAGCAGAGATATATAAATGCAAAGTCGAAATATGAAAAATTTCTATTAAGAAACGTCCCCGTCATCAATATCATCATTATCATCATTATCATCATCATTATCATCATCGACCACGCATACATAGTAGTATCGTGCTACACGTATTCACACGTATACAACACATGCGCACACATATATCACACGTACACAACACATGCAAGATGCATGTAGTGGTAATTTTGTCCATCTCGCACGTTTTACAACAGATGGCGATAGTGGCGCTCCGCCATATCGGCAGCGTGCGGGGTTATGTTGGCTAACTCTCTCTCTCTCTCTCTCTCTCTCTCTCTCTCTCTCTCTCTCTCTCTCTCTCTCTTTCTCACACACACACGCACACACACACACACTCTCTCATTCTCACTCACTCACTCACTGTTCGTCTTGTGTACTTATTTAGTACATTCATGATCGGCAGCGTGCGGGGTTATGTTGGCTAACTCTCTCTCTCTCTCTCTCTCTCTCTCTCTCTCTCTCTCTCTCTCTCTCTTTCTCACACACACACGCACACACACACACACTCTCTCATTCTCACTCACTCACTCACTGTTCGTCTTGTGTACTTATTTAGTACATTCATGATTAAACATCTATATGCATTAATGTGAAATTTACTTACAATTAGTTTACTTGAAATATTCAATCTCTAAAGTGTTTATCTTATAAGATAGACAAAAAAATCTGAGTAAATAATAAGAAAAAAAAACAAGGATTATTATTGTCATAATTTTTTATCAATTAAGTACTCTCAACTATCCAATAATTAAATAAATACGTACAAATGTGCGCGCGTGTACACACATACACATATTGATATTAAAGAGATTGAAGGAGAGGAAGGAGAAGATAAAAATTTAAATATTCACATATATTTTCAAATATTATATATGAATTTATAGTTTACATATCTAATTAATAATGAATTTCTAATTATATTAAACATATCAAAATAAAGACATACATGTATTTATCAAATGAATAAAATTATTGAATACAGACTTAAAAAATTTATTAAACATAGACTTAAAAAATTAATTAATTAAACATATTCCAAATTTAGAAAAAATAAACTTTATTTATATATGCAACAGCTTTTTAAACTAAATTTTTAAATTCTATTTTATATTAGACAATTATCTCAATCAACATCTACGTCCACATTAGCTGCACTGCAGACTACCTCTACAGCCACATTATCTGCTCCGCGGATATAGCGTTATGCCAATACGATACATTACATGTACTTACTTACTTGCCTTTACTGTACCAACTCTTGTTCTTTCCACGTAATCATGTTTTTACAGTTATCGTTTGCTGTATATCTTCCAGCAAACTTTATTTCGTGTGAAGTGTATTTAATTAATTAAATCTCTGCGAAAGATTGAGAAGATGAAGGGATAATTCAAACTATGAAGACATGGTTACATGGAAAAGACAAGAGTTGATACAATAATAAAGACATACATGTATTTGTATCCTGCTGGCATAAGGTTATAGAAGTTGATTGAGATTGAAAAATAATAATGAAAATAATAAAAAAAATAAAGACACATGTATTTGTATCGTGCTGGCATAAAGTTATAAAAGTTGATTGAGATTGAAAAATAATAATAAAAATAATTAAAAAAAGGAAATATTCAATCATCATTTAAAAGCATATTTGAAATCTGTAGAATAAACAGTTTTTGCAAAAAATGTGGAGCATTTGAGCTCTAGTAAGTCTAAAAATAAATGTAAACATCAATTAATAATAACTGATGTTATATATATATTATATATATAAACCAATTTGTTGCAATATTCACTATAAAAGGTTGTAAGGGTAAGATGGCTAAAAGTGAATAATTTAAAAGATAGTTAACATAATTTTACATAAACTGAAATATTTCATAAAATAAAATATTTGTAATATTTCGAAGTTTATGTAAGATTATGTAAAAATTATACCTTTACAACTTTTTATAGTAAATATTGCGAGGAATCGATTTATATGAGAAAAATTAAGGTAATTCTATTTTGAAAATATAAGTGACCTTTAAATAACCTTGAAAATCGCCGTTTAGGAAAAAGTCTGTGTCAACTTTTTCTTTTTCGAAATCCTGCAACTTTTATCTAAATTTAATAGAAAATGTATAAAAAATGCTCGACATTAGTACACACACACACACACACACACACACACACACATATGGGTAAATTTATATAAATAGGGTGCTTTAGGAGGAATGATCAGGATTCTAGGATATGATTGTACACATCATTTTAAGCAAAGAAGTTTAGATAAACATGTTTAATAATTGTTCTATTCCGGTCATAAAAATATACAAAAATGAATGATATAATCTCTAAAAACTCACCTTTAAAAAAAGGTAAAAAAAGGCGACCAGTTAAGGGCACGCCATTAACAAAAATTATCCATTGCAAACCCATGTAGAATCCTATCCTATTGCAAACCCATGTAGAATCCTATGAAAAATTAATCATTGCAAACCCATGTAGAATCCTAGGCAAAATTAACCATTGCAAACCCATGTAGAATCGTACCCATTGCAAACCTATGTAGAATCCTATGAAAAATTAACCATTGCAAACTCATGTAGAATCCTATGAAAAATTAACCATTGCAAACCCATGTAGAATTGTATTAAAAATTATCCATTGCAAACTTATGTAGAATCCTACATTGCAAACCCATGTACAATAGAATTGTATGAAAAATTATCGATTATAAACCCATGTACAATCGTAACAAAAGTAATGAAATAAAAAAAATAAAAAATGTAGAATCGTACCATAAAAAAACTTATCTTTTAAAAAAAAGATAAACAAGATGCCAAGTCCATGCGCCATGTGAAAAAGAAATAAAAAAATTTTAGTTAAAAAAACTGGGAGCGCTGCTAAATAATATTCTAACAATATTAAAATTAAATTGTTACTTTTAAACTCATTACAGTTAAAATATGTTTTGTGTTTAAATTAATTAATGTTACTTTAAGGTGCATTGTAATTTTGAAACTTAGCAGCGCGCCCAGTTTTTTTAACTAAAATTTTTTTATTTCTTTTTCACATGGCGCATGGACTTGGCATCTTGTTTATCTTTTTTTTTAAAAGATAAGTTTTTTTATGGTACGATTCTACATTTTTTATTTTTTTATTTCATTACTTTTGTTACGATTGTACATGGGTTTATAATCGATAATTTTTCATACAATTCTATTGTACATGGGTTTGCAATGTAGGATTCTACATAAGTTTGCAATGGATAATTTTTAATACAATTCTACATGGGTTTGCAATGGTTAATTTTTCATAGGATTCTACATGAGTTTGCAATGGTTAATTTTTCATAGGATTCTACATAGGTTTGCAATGGGTACGATTCTACATGGGTTTGCAATGGTTAATTTTGCCTAGGATTCTACATGGGTTTGCAATGATTAATTTTTCATAGGATTCTACATGGGTTTGCAATAGGATAGGATTCTACATGGGTTTGCAATGGATAATTTTTGTTAATGGCGTGCCCTTAACTGGTCGCCTTTTTTTACCTTTTTTTAAAGGTGAGTTTTTAGAGATTATATATGTTACTTGATCTACAAGATGAACTCGGTGTAGTTACAGCTGTCACATGTGAAGTAACTGGACTCTTTTGACGTAATTCTGATGGAGAAGTGCATATTGAAGATGATGATTTTTCATCAGATATATTTGCTTCATAAATACAGTAATCTTTTGATGTACCTGGTGTCTCTATATTTATCGATCTTGCACTTGTACTTGGAGATACATCTTTATTTGATATCCTGAACTTTCATTGAAAAATCGTCCTCTCGTGGAATATTAGGATCAATATTTTCTTCTGTAGCATTATCAGAATCCATCTTTACACATGAAAACATTTCAAGACTTTATTTATACCAATAAAATTATGACTTACATCACATTGCATGTGCGACGTATAGAAATACTTACATTATCTTCTATTAAACATTTCTGTTTTTCTCTTGCAATCTCTATGATTTTTGTTTTGTTATCCGTAACTGAAGTTACCTTCCTTGCTTGACATATTTTTGTAAGTAAGAGATCCTTTTTAGATTTATGATTTTTAGAAAATGTCAACATTGCGTCATTTTTTTTTTTTCTAATTGTTATATTTTTCTGTAATCTTTCAAATTTTTTTGTTTTGCTATCTGTGATAATATTGTTTTGATATTGTTTTACTTTATTATTTTCTGATCGAAACAAGATAAATGGCGGAGAAGGAGCATGTTTAAATTTATATTTTTTTATAGCACTATCATCTCTATCAAAATCTGAATCATCAGAAGTTAAAATATTTTTAAATTTCTTCTTTTTTGTCACTTTTGTCGAGAGAGATTCATCACATGCAAACTGCCGCTTAATTTTTTACGTTTACCACGACCAAATTCACACTCTGTTTCATAATTAGACGACATAATATATCCATTTCGTGCATTTCGTGCAGCCAAAAGTGTATCTAGGAAATACAATTAAAAAGACAATTAACTTTTTATAAGCAAAAAATATGCAATAAGAAACAACATACCATAACATTTTAAAACAGTAACATTATATATCGGCCATGAAGGAAGTGCATCTATTTCTTTTTTAATTGCAGTACTCTGCTCAGATTTAGGAGGCCAAGAAATTTTTGCATTTGTTTCTTCATCTAATTGTTTTAGCCATTTAATAAGACCAACTTCAAATAAAGAATCGTCTTCCTCGTCGCAATCACATCTTCATTTATAAATTTCAAAACGACAAACTGAAAAAATAATGATTTTGATCCCAATAAACACTGTTCTGTAACTTTTACAGATCATATACAAAACGGTTGTTCCCTGTTTTGGTAACCGTTATGTCAACTATTAAGTAACGTTTAGATGGAAATGTCAGCAACATTATGCCTGTATATGATATGTAATAGATACATAAAATTTAAACGTAATAGATACGTAAATTTAGACATAAAATTACGTAACTATTACAGAACCTATCAAATATTATTTGTAACATTTACATAACATTTACAGAACATTTACAGAACCGATATTCTCTGTTCTGGTAACCATTATGTAACTTATAGGTAATGTTTAGGTCAAATGTTACGTATTGTATACAGCAACATTATGTTGTATGTAATATGTAACAAAATAACGTAACAAATACATAAAATTTAGGTATAAAATTATGTAACTATAACAGAAGCTATTAAATATTATTTGTAACATTTACAGAACAGATATTCTCTGTTCTGGTAACCATTATGTAATTTATAGGTAATGTTTAGGTCAAATTATCACGTATTATATACAGCAACATTATGTTATATATATGTAACAAAATGACGTAACAAATAACTAATATTTAAACATAAAATTACAAAACTATAACAGAACAATCTTTCTTCAGTCTAATCATCGATAAATGTATATATTATAATATATATATATATGCATCAATGATTAAAATAAAGAGACTATTCTGCTATAGTTATATAATTATTTATTTAAATTTTAAATATTTGTTACGTCATTTTGTTACATATTATATACAGGATAATGTTGCTATATAATACGTAATTTTGCCTTAAACATACATATCATATCTATATCAGTAATCTTTTTAAGAATCAATAGTTTCATCAACTTTTAGTAAATAAAAATTAATTTTAACAGCGTAAAATTATTGATTGGATGAAATTATTAATGAGCTGTTTTTAATTGATTAAATTAAAGAATTATATATATATATATATATATATATATATATATAATCTATATTATTAAGATATTTTTTAAAAATCGTGTATATATATATAAATATAACAATATAATATTGGTTTTTTTAACAATTCTTTATTTTTATAAATTGTTAAAAAATGAATTTTTCAACAAACATTACTAATAACATTTATAAAACTTTTTTTTTTCAATTCGCAATCATAATGATAAATTATAATATAATTTAAATTATATTACAGATTCTTTTTAACAGAAAACTTTTAATATATATTTATAGCTGTAAATAATAAACAACTGCTAAATAACTGATAATAATAAACAAGCAGAAATTGCGCTTATATTTTATACACTTCGCAACAAAATTAGGGTCACAAAATTAGAAAGAATCAAATTCAAATTCATGTATGTTTACAAAAAATGATCGTAGAGCAGTATATCAAAAAGCATTTTCAAGTATGAGACTCCAACTTTCTAATGCTCTAATGGAGATTTCCCTACAAAGATTTACTAAAAGATTTATTGCAAACGGCGCTATTCTACAATAAAAGCCTTACAAAATTGTAGAAAAAACTTTAACTTTGGCGTGCACGAGGAGAAAAGAATTCATTTTCTATCAATTTTATTAATTGTATTAAAATATAGCATTTCCCTTTCAAAATGCGTTTTTAAATATTACATTATGTGGATTGTGTTTCTCTGAGTTATGATATTTTGAAATGAATAGGCATTTTCAGGCTTATTTTCTAAAAAAAACCCTCGTATTTGTTGTCGATATTGGTATTACCCACAGGAAGATTACAAGGTTGGACTTACACTTCGTGTGTGTATGTGTGTGCAAGTGTGTGTGTGTGTGTGTGTGTGAGATGTATGTGTGTGGGGGGAAGGGTACGTGTGAATAAGTGTGGGATATGTGTGCGTGTATGGAATGTGTGAGTGTGTGTGGAGTGTGTAGAGTATGGGTGTGTAAGGTGTGGTGGGGTACGTGTGAGCATGTGTGAGCTGTGTGTGAGCGTGTATGGGTGTGGTGTGTGTGTGGGATGTGTGTATGGGTTGTGTGGTGTGTGTGTGTGTGTGGAGTGTGTGGGGAGAAGGGTATATGTGAGCATGTGTGGGATGTGTGTGTGTATGGAATGTGTGAGTATGTGTGGAGTGTGTGTAGAGTATGGGTGTGTGTAAGCGTGTGTGGGGTACGTGTGAGCATGTGTGCGATGTGTGTGAACGTGTATGGGTGTGTGCGGGGTGTATATATGTGTGAAAAGTATGTGTACATAAGGAGGTGTATGTGTGAGAAGTGTGTGTGGGGGGGGGGGCATGTGTGTGTGTGTGGTGTGTATGAGTGCGTATAGGGTATGTGTGATGTGCATGGTGTGTGCGGAGGTGTGTAATGTATAAGTGTGGATGTATAAATGTGTAGTATATATATATCTATATATATATTATATGTGGGGGGAGGTGTTTTTAAGAATGTGTGTAAGTATGTATATAATGTGTGTCTGTCATACACATCCCACCACACACATACTGACCTCATTCATATATATTCCATACCACTCACACATATCCGATACACACTTCACACACATACATTCCATACAACAACTCATACTTCATACACACTCACTCCATAACACTCACACACATCCCATACACAACAATACTGATCTCATTTATACCCTCCATACACACACTCACACATTATATGATACACACTCCATACACAGTCACAACTTCATATACACACTCACACACACCCCACACATGCACACACCATCACATCATACATACCCCTATACATACCTTATTCATAGATACATTCCACCACACACTCACACATACACGACACTCGCGCGCACCCTATACAAACACACATAGCCATACACAGGCACATACTCACACACACTCCACCACACATTCACACACGGCAGACACGCGCCACACAATCCCACACAGACTCACGCATACCCGGGCCACACACACACACACATCTTACACACATACACACACACACACACACATGTACACACACAAAGTGTAAGTCCAACCTTGTAACTTTCCTGTGGGTATTACCAATACCGACAACAAATATGAAGTTTTTTAAAAAGGCCTGAAAATGCTGTTTATTTCAAAACATCAAAACACACAATTCGTAACGCAATGTTTATAAAAATGCATTTAAAAAAAAATACTATATTTTAATACCATTAATAAAGTTGATAAAAAATTTGTTCTTTCCGTAATCGCCTATCAATGTTAAAGTTTTTTTTCTACAATTATATAAGGCTTATTTTAAAGTAGTTTATAGTAAAATCTGTGTAAAGAAATTCCGTTAAAAAATCTCCATTGAAAACTTTGAGTTTTCTAGTTTAAAATGCTTTTAAATATCAGACTATGATAATTTTCTAATTTTGTTGCGAAGTGTAGTATTACACTTGTAATAATCGTTAATAACATAAATTAATTAAATTAAATAAAAACATAAATTTATAATAATAATTATTATAAAATTAACTCTTACGATACACACGAGTATTCGCGACTTCATTTTTTGGTTTTAACACTATATATACATTAGTATAAAGTAAATTTTCTATAGACTTTTCATATAAAAACTATATAATTCTCACATCAATAAACTTTTCATCAATACACCATCCAAATTATACTTTTGAGATTCATGTGTAATTCATTAATAATTGTCGAAAATACATGAGTGTGTATCGTTAGAGTTTAATTTAAACAAAAAATATTAAATTTAATTAAACAAAAATGTAAACATAATTCAAATTGCATGGAGAAAATACGGTTATACTTTTTGTAATTCAAAAAAATTGAAACAAAATTGTTATTCAAAAGTATCAATAAATGATGGTTACTAAGTCTGCTAATTCTCTTAAAAGAAATATTTAATTCAAGTAAT